GCATACGATGACGCACACAGCGATAACGTGTCCCACACGTCACTTTTTAACTTACTCAAATGAATCCCGCAAAAAACAGATTTACTTCAGTCTGTTGTCAAACCTCCACTCACCAAACAACATTTTTCAAATTACAAGACAATTATAAAATGAAGAAATTTTGTGCCAAATCCAAATTTTTTCACTCAAGATTCTGTACCTGAATTTAATAACCAAATTGATATCAGTTTCCTTGTTGTGATTCCTCACTTCAAGCGAATGTGTTTTAAATAAATTTGGAAATAAAGCCATCAAGAGGAATTGGACTCTTAAAGCACATCTCGTAGTCCGTCTTAGGTGGCCAAAGCAAAAAGCCAATTTCGAGAAATAATAATAAAAATATTAATAATAAATTAAAAGCAGAATATGATTAATTGACTCATCTTCTTTTCACGCCTGTCTCTTGCAGTATGCACTTTAAGATGATTTCAGCATTGAGAACAATTCAGAATAAACCAATCAATTATCAGAAACATGTAAGTAGTTTAGCTATATCGAGTTTGAGTATACATGCGCTTTGTTTAAATTTAAAGTGTTCGATTATGGTATGGCGAGAAAATTCATTCTATGCCCCGTCCTTTAAAGCCACGTCACTGCACTTAAAAAAAGTTTCAGATTCATAACTTACAAATGCTGACTTTTCCTCAGTTACACGTAAAGTGCTTAGACATGTCGCAGAAAGGCCTTAAGCTTTTTGAGGAAATCCAACTTCATTGAGCATTGACTGGGGCAGAAATAATTCCATGTCACAGAGAGGAAAGGCTTCATCACAGAATGCCACACAAAATTCGAGCATGGTTGTGCCAAGGCATTTATCTGAGTGACAAAGGAAACTTTCTTATTAAAATTGCACGGTAACAATGAAAGTAATGGAAGTTCAAAAAATTTTCTTATCACTGTGTACGATGGACTTACATCCTCGTGGTGCACCCTAGGTAACGTATACCATAGGCAAAAAGTTTATTAACCGGCAGTTGACTTTGACTGCAAACTACCATCATCCCACTGCATGTTATGTTCGACCACTTTCACAATACTCGCCTTACCCTACTCTTAACCTTTGTGTGTCTCTTTTTCATCTTTGAAGCGACCAATTTTTACTTTGATGTTCCTTCCCCTCTGTGAGGTCTGAAGTCAACTAAAGGGCTAATGATAACTATCAAAACGCCTGCCATTTGATATAACTAAATATATATATATATATTTTGAAATAAATAAATGTTATGGCATTGAGTGACTCAGCTAAATGGCTAATGATATCTATCAAAACGCCTGCCACCAACTAAAGGGCTAATGATAGCTATCAAAACGCCTGCCATACCGAAGTCAGTTAAAGGGCTAATGATAGCTATCAAAACGCCTGCCATTTGTTAAGGGCTAATGATAACCATCAAGACGCCTGCCATTTGATACAGGGCTAATGATAACTATCTTCAAAACTCCTGCCATTTGATATAAATAAATAAATAATTGGGAACAGCCTGCCATTTGATATGGGGCTAATGATAACTATCAAAACGCCTGCCATTTGATATCCTAATGATAACTATCAAAACGCCTGCCATTTGATATAACTAAATAAATTATCTCTGTAATACATTAAAAGAAGAAAATCCCTAACAACTAAAAAGGAAGACACCGTCTCAGGGGTATGAATGCAAAGTGGTAAGATAAAAGAAATTAATTGGCTAACTTTCATTCTTTACAAATTTAATATTTTATAAAATGCTTTTTCACCAACATTAGTGAAAACTCTATAAGACGCATTCTGAGCTTATCTTTTCCTTATCTATGATCTGGATATTAGGTTTTAAACAGTAAAGCGGTTTTCACAAACTTCATTCGGTCGCCAAGGCATGATGCTTCTCTAGATTGAACTAATAAAAAAATCTAATCAGTTTGTAAATATATCGTGTGTTGTGAAACTATACACAACCTGCATTATCGATTAAATTTTGAAACCACACGAGCATTTGCCACGATGATAATTGACATTTTCACGGCCTTAGCTGTTTTCATGGCGGTAAATACACTGAATTTAATTAATATATTATAAATTAGTATATTATAAAATATGGAAGGTGTTGGAGGGAATTAACCCATTGATTAATACCCGATTTCGAACTTATTTGCCTTAGATGTGGATACCAGCAGCACTGCCTTTATCCATTCTCATCTTCATAACTCGCTGGAATTTTGGAAATGAGCAATTTGATTGGGTGGAAAGAGAAAGCATATCAAGGCAGGACAGAGGAGTGGTAATCTTGGGCATTTACTGACTTCTAGCATATTTCTTAGTCCGCATAATTAAACATCGTTGCTTTTTTCCAGAACACAGATTTCAACTATGTGGAAGAAAATGGAGTTGATAATTTGTCAAGAATGCTAAAATTACATGATAGCATTCAGAGAATGCTGCATGAGTATACCATCTTAATGAACACTGCACTATCAAGTAGAAACGAAGCGGCAGAAATACATTTACCAGATCCTGTATCTGGACCACCTCCTTCACCTCGGCCTTTATCATGGCGACCACACTACCGCACAAATAACCGTGACGTGAGTACCATTGGTGTATTTAAAATTTCATTTAATTTACCTCAATCTACCATTTGACTAAATTTATTTCAGGCCGAAAGTCGCAGCGAAGTCTCTTTGACAAATCCTGCATTTGACGATGTTATAAAGGAATTAAAGGGTAGGAGGTATACGCTCAGGTCAACATTAGACAAAAATGAGACGCGATCCTTGGAAGATGGTAGAAAAGTTCAAAATGAGGAAGAAGAGGAACGTCAGGTGGAAAGAGAGTCCCATACAATCTGAATTTTAATGGACTGGGAAGTCAAATATCGATTAAAGTATCAAGTCTGACTATTGTTATTCGCTCCTATTTTGAATACATGAAAATTCGTTCACTAAAAACTTTCATTGATGACAAAAAAGCGAGATTTGTTTGTTTTCTTTTCGTATTGGAAGGAGAACCAGAATCCATTTCAATGTTTTGTTGCATTTTCTGCAAGAATGAACTTTTGATTGCAATTAATCTTCAAAATGATGGAATACGGCAATTAATGGTTAACTTCAATAATTGTGATGCCGCCAAAAATAAAAGAACCGAAGATCTTACCTTTCGGAGGATAGATTCTCAACAAAAATTATGACAAACCAGAACATATCCCTAAAAGATGTGAAAAGTATTCTGCGAGAATGGATGCAGACTCGATCATTGTGTGGCCAATGAGCAAGTTGATGAAATAAGATTGAGTAATATTAACCAATAAGCATTTATGCTACCCGCAAACCTTGTTTATTTACATTGTCTATTTCTCTGATGCTTACCATGCATGCACTTTCTGGTTCAGGGGACTCTATCTGAATAGAGCACACACTGAATCCTACCTAATGCTTAATCCTTCAAAGGTTGTTCATGTAACATGCCCACCATAACAAAGTTTGTTAGACTATCAATGTTTATCATATTTAACCTATCTCTCAGACCCAGAGTTATCCTCTTTCATTACTGATACCTCCCTCTTCACCATTTAGCTGACTTCGGGCTTCACAGAGGGAAGGTTCATCAAAGTAAAAGAAAGTCGAGGGGTGGGGAACAGAAGAGCGATAGACTTACCTCCACGTGGTGCACCAGGCAACGTATACTCATACGGCAAAAAAGTCTATTAACCGGCAGTTGACTTCTGACTTCTGATTTCAAACTACCATGGCCCCACTACCTGTTATATTCGACCCCTAACACAGTACTCATCTTACCTTTTTCTCTACCCTTGTGTCTGCCTGCCTCTTTTACATCTATGAAAAAAATATACTTGGTCCCATATAATGTGCTGTTGGAACGAAATTCGCAGTAATACAGTTCTTGATTTGAAAGAGTTTG